CAGCACCACTGTTAGCTATCAATTGGCTTGACCAGCCTTGCGACCGAAATTCATGACGAGACTGGTCCCTAAGGGAAGCAACTCAGCATGGCTTGGAATGACTCAGGCCTATCTCATAAAAAGTAAAAGGGGAGGTTAGCCTGGAAAACGCAGGCCTACAACGAAAGAGAAAAGGGGACTATCATGAATTCAGCCAACAGTGTTCTGTGCTGACAGAATGGAGCGATGCCCAGACTGCCTCTGCTAAACTGGGCCTTTGCCTCGAGGCACATTGAGCTAGAGCTGCCTAACCCAACCCCGACGACCTGGATGAGTTAATTCTTCGGATAGAATCAAAAGCTATGGGAAAGAGCCCAATCACTGGTATAGTATTCCTGCACCGGTTCTGTGTTGCAGTCACTCCTGTGCTGCAAGGGCCGCACGTCCGAGCTGTTTACAGGCCGAGTTTCGGGAATTTCCATGAATCTTTTCCAAAAGGATGCAAGACCATTTCCTTCAGGAGCGTATTTAATGAGATCGTACTTGGATTGTTGCGAAAAAAGTTTAAATAGTCTTTTAAGGAAATCTTCTTCATAACCATTATCAAGGAGCCTCTGATATATTTTTAACCGAGAGGCGACGACGTTTTTAATAATATGCCTAGGGATATTACTACTTGCATTCGGCAGACTCAGGAATTCAAAATCGAAATCTCTTCTTTTGTCATGGATGCTGGTAACGAAGCACTTTTTTGAATCATTAACTGCGATATTTAGGTCTAAGTAATGGGCGGATTTGAACGGGGACGAGACCTTTTCTTCCAATTCCATGCAAACTGGGTAAATGCTCTCGATTTCGGCCTGTATTCTTGAGTTGTTAATTGCTACGAGGTCATCAATGTACCTGTAGGTGAAACGGTAATCATCTGGAAATGACGTCTCGTTCATGTGCCTAGCTTCATAATAAAATAGGAAGAGGTTTGCCATGTTGGTTGAGTAATTGCTTCCCAGAGGCACGAATATATATATATATAAATTCGCTTAGATTCGCATATATATGTTCGTTTAGAAACGTTCCATGGTAAATCCGCAATAAATTTGAAAGTGTTAATGGAAAAGAAAGATGCTGCAGAGGCATTATCGGCCCACAAGAAAAAATGCCCAGAGAAAAAAACAGCGCATATATACAAAGTTCGTAAAAAAAAAAGAAGCCTACTTGAGCATCACGTATAACATAAGTTGCTAATTATGTCTACTATGCATGGAATAAATCATTATATTCCTAAGATGAGGCTTTCGATGCTGGACCAGCGCAAGGATCACTTACAGAGATGCACGGGGAAGCCGGGTCACGGGTCACGTGGGTTCACAATCAGGTCAGAGAGAAATTTCGCCTGGCACCCATGCTGTGAACCCCTCCCGGCGGCAAGAGGTTTCTTCAAGTGCGGGGAGAAAGCACGGTCCCCTGTAATTATCTTTGATATAGGGGGCGTATTGATCCCGAGGAGGGTTGAAGGGCGGAGTTCCTCATACGGAGAGATATGAGAAAATCTATAAATTGGGCTGTAGGTACGCCCCTGAGAACTCTCGATTGCGATTTCCCACGTGCCCCCTGCTGAGAAAGGGACCACTGGCATGTATGATCAACTGCTTGTTGTATATCATGCATTTGTCTTGCAAAATGAAGACAACAAGCAGCAAGAAATATCGGAAAACATTAATAACGTGTGTATTTTTACGTACTATGTACATTTCTCCTCGTTTCTTTTTTTTCCGTGTGTTTCTTTCATACCAAATAGCTAGAGAGCAACAGCAGCGCATTCTTTCAACGACTGCACAGACAGACCATAGAGCGAAGCAGACAGACCGTAGAGCGAAGCACGCCGAAAGGCGCCTCGGGGCGAGGACTCCGGGTTCCCGTCGGTCGGAGCGCTCTCCACAAGAAGTCTCCTTTGGGCCTTTATTTCGAGGCTCTCGATAGCCGATAGGCCGATTCTGGCGTCACCTGTTGGTAAAACGGAAACTGACCCACCTTTGGGGATGCGAGAACGGCTTCCCGTCACACTCATTGCAGCGATGCAGTTGGTGTCGTGCACTCGATGCGAGAACCGGATTCTGACGTTGATATGGCTTTATCCTCACAAATTTGCCCCACTTCTCAGTCGTTAGCAATCTCATTAATGAAAAAAAAATATATATATATATAGTAGCACTTTCCATCGAGGGAGAGGATCTCATTCCTAAATACTTTTCATATTCGTCCTCATGGGCGCACTAATTTCCAAAACTTAGGATGGGAGCTAAAGAACAGATTGTGTGTGTGTGTTTTTTCTAATGTAAAATCAATCCTAGAAACGGATAAGGCTGCCATATCCATGGAGATCTGTTGGATTTGCACCCCTCGTGTACTTCTCTCGTCCACTTTCTGTCAATGAGGCGGCGTGGTTGGGCTAGAGCGAAGTTCTGAGCTTGGACGATCCGGGCCAACCGCTATGCGGCTCTGATTTATTATTATTATTATAAAAGTTTTCTCTTATTTACTACGGTCGAAGGACGAGAGAAGTAACCAACGCCTACGTTCATTAATAACGGATAGCTCAAGTTTGATAACGATCTCGGTACCTTCGAGCCAACTTCATCTGTTGCGTCAGACGAAGCACACCCGGTCTGTCCGTGTTCATTCCGACAGATCGAAAGCAAAAGTGGAGTTAAAGGCAACTTTCGGCTGGAGGCGAGACATTGAGGTATGAGCCTGGCAGGTGAGAGGTTATGAATGAATTAAAAGAGGTGGCCTCACAGCTGATTAGCATCGGGTGGAGATTCTTGGAGGGGGGTCTTTTTAACAGCCAGGGTTAACAAACAAGAAACCCGCTAAGAAATTAGGAAAAATATGCATAAATTCTTGGGGGGCATAGCCAACATTTACTCCCTCCACTCTCTTACTCGGGGGGCCGGGTTACCTTCAGCCCCCCACTCCCCCCCCCGCTGGTGCACCTATGTAATCGTCACCATCTCTGCTCAGCCAGACCCACGGGCCGAACGGGAATAGGTTTGTTTCGAAATGACCGGAGTGACGTCACGACCACACGCAATACCGGCAAAATAGTCTCTGTGAAACGACGCAGTCTGAATGGAATAACAAAATGCCCCAGTGCCCAAAGGACGGGCAAAGCGACAAAAAAATTACGTAAGGGTGTTCACGCACCTCGGCATCGGCCTTCCAGTCTCACTTCGGCCACTCCTGCCAGGCAAAAATATCGATCGGATTATGTTATAGCCGTATTATAGGAAACGGCGGAGGAAAGTAGCGGTAAAGAACGGGAATTCATTGCAAATTCATTTACGTTATGCTTTTGCAAGGGATGTGTCACTAAATGCTCTCAACTGCAGCAATGAGTAGCAAGCTAGCCACGGACAGAAACATCGAGAGACGGACAGGCTGGACAGGACCAAAAGAGACAAAATGAGATCTCTGTCGTTTCGAGGAAGCTTACTGATAAGTATCACATTGGATTCCAATTAGGCCTATTTTAATTCATAGGCGATTTCTTCTACAGGCCACGATTGCCACCCATCGGCCGATAGTTATGTGGAAAAATTGGCCCAACGGTCAAATGATGCCACCGGTACGACCCCAATTTTCACCCACAATCGCTTAGCTTGTGACACCGATATTTCAAAAGAAAATTTTCCTGTCAAAGAACTCCAGAATGACGACCTTGGATTTCCAGGCGCCATGCTCCATGTTGCGTTTCGCATCGGAAAAGAATGGATTCGCATCAGCGCATCGATTGCAATTATGGAGGAGCAAAAGGATTTGCAGTATCGCTTCTTTCCAATTCTTCCGTCAATATTGCTACCTGTATGTCGAAAATAAATCACAAACCATTTGAGATCGGATTGCAAAAATAGTTTAGTGATTATGGAAATATTTACCGTTTCCAACCTTTTAATGGCATTCTTCCTTCACCAGGGGTAGTTTTTTTTTTAATCAAGGAAAACGAAGTCTCTTCTAACTGCGATCACAAGTGAGATAAGAGAAATAGAGCAAAAGAAAGAAAGGAGCGGATAGGGGGGCGGTTGGCCGGTGGGGGTGGGGAGGGGGAGTGGGGGAGGGGGGAGGGGATTAAACGGCGCCGAATGCATCCGCCACCACCCTCTTGTCACACCCCCTTTCCTTATCATAGGCCCATCTTGCCAAGCCTCCACACCGCACAATCCTATATAAACGCAGGGAAAGAAGTCTTCATCAGTCGCATTTTCTGAGACGATCTGTTCCACCTGTGATCCGAGTCTGAGGCTCAGCCGGTGCACCATGACTTCTACAGTGAGTTCAGCCTCTTTCTAATTGTTTGGTTAGAGCCTTTTGCTTGCTTGGTTAATGTGTTTCTTGTTTATTTAATTTTTCCTCTGATATTTCTACGTCTCGATAGACTTCTCTGTGGCCATTGGATTTCATGTCCAAAGTAATTCCTTTCTGCAGGTCGTTGTTCTAGCTCTTCTGGCTTGCTCCCAGGCCATACCCGTACCTGACGGTGCTCATCATTCCTCACACCATCAACCCAATCCCGACACCGAAGGATATCCTGTATACGTTCCTCCTGCCAGTACCTACCAGGCTCCTCAACCTGTTTACCAGGCACCTACCCCCGCTCCTGTTCCTGCCCCGCAGCCGACCTACGAAGCGCCTCAGCAGGGATATGCTCCAGTCCAGCCCCTTGTGCCTGTTCAAATCCACTACGATTACTCCTTCAATGCTGCTGGTGTCAAGAAGCCCGATGCAGGTTCTGGATACGCCCCTGCTCAGGGATATGCCCCCCCAACGAACACCTACCAGGCTCCGCAGGCTGGTTATGCCCCTGCCCAGACTGGCTACGCGCCCCAGGGTTACGACGTCCCCGTTCAAGTTTCATTCGATCAAATCGTCTTGAGCGGAGAGAATGGCGGACAGGAAGGCTATGCTCCGGCCCAGGAGGAAGGTGACGTCACTGGCTATGCTCCTGCTCAGGGATATGGACAGGAATCCAATGCTGTACGTGCTCACCTTCACTCCATTCCTGAAATGGGATTTTTGAGTTTCCTACGCATTTCCTATTACGAATGAGTTTTCCCTCAGGATTCCCCGGCCAAATACCACTTCCTGTACACAGTAAACGATCAGACTGGTGGGGATGTTAAAGGACATGAGGAAACTCGTGATGGTGTCTTTGCCCAGGGAAAGTACTACGTCCTCCAACCTGATGGTGAGCTAAAGCCTATTAAGCGACCTTGCTGTGCCCAATGATCGGTATTATTACATATCTATCCTCCGTTTCAGGCAAACTCAGGACGGTGAATTACCACACGGACGATTGGGGCTTCAAGGCAGACGTTTCTTATACTTGAATAAGTTGACAGGATTCAGATGACATAGGTGGAATTAGTGTTCTTTTAACGGCTGACGTCCTCGACTTCTCAAACCTCTCTTGTCAACGTCTCATTTTTATGCATGATTTTGTCACTGGCCTCGTACGTTCCGTGTCGCATGTCTCAAGTTTTCAGCTTTGTTTTTGTTTCCTGTTGAAAATAAAAATGAAAAAGGAGCAAAGTCTTGGCTATTCAATTACGCCCACATGGCCAGATCCGTCTGCCTTTATATCTAAATACACTTCCATTTTTATGCCATGTGCGTCACATTCACATACGCGGTGACTTTAATTATAAAATAGGCCATTAATGCAATAGGTATTGAGATTGACGTCATAGACGTGAGTGTGCGCTGCAGGAAGTGTATTAATGCAATGTGCGAAGCTTGCACTCCGAAAAAGTGATCGGTTGATTTGGAAAGTGATCTGGAAACCCCGAGAATGACATGGGAAAATTTCTATTTCACTCGACGATGGGTTTCCCCTATCTCTGCAACTGGTATATTCCTAGTTAAAATAGGGCTTAACGTCAGACAAACGAATCAGAAATAACATCGGGGAAATCAAAAGCATTCAAATCAATACGTTCCGCTAGTCCCGTGTCGAATCGTGGAGTCCACTACAATTAGGTCCCCGGCAGAGAGGGTTCACTACTCCACTCCCTTCCACCACCGCTCGATCGCTGATGCTTCCAGCATAACATTCAGTAATGAGTGTTATGGTTCCATGAGGGGCAACACCAATCATCACTTGTAGTTACTAAGTCTTTGTGCTTCCAGGCGGAATCTCGGAACGGCAATGTCGATCTCTGTGCAATCGATTGTCATTCGGCAGTTGGAGAATCTAACGAAGGCATTGGGAAGTCGAGTCCTGTTCTTCCTCACCCTGGGGACGCAATCCATCATTCCCCCAAATATTATTTCGTAGAGAGCATTGAGATATGTCATTAGGACATTCTGCACATGACTTCGACTCATTCCAAATCGGATGGACAGATCTTTATCAAACACTGCCAATCGCAGTTCAGGGAAAGTGGCATGTAAGTACGTTTTGTAGTATAACGCAAGATATTCAGAACAGCAAAATATTACGAAATATGAAGCGGAACGGAATTTGCAGTGGCGCACGAGTTGTATCACGCGCTCGTAAGCTGATTTGTTTACCCTCTAATAGCGCCCGCAGATCACATTCCACGAGGATGTCTAAAGAATATTCAGTCAATCAAGAGGTCTTGAGAGGTGACCGTCGAGAGTCACTCAGGGCCAGGATCAGGGCTTGAACTCCCCGTCGAGGGTATTCAAGCCCTTATGGCATGTATTACAACTGAAGACTTCATAAGAAGGAGAATGGACGGTACCGGTGGCGCTCTGCATAGTATGGATCCAGAGCTTGAATGGCGGAACCGAAGAGGGAAGTTTGGGTGTTGCCGTATGCATATCTGTCATATGGATTGCGGAACCCGTGGGAGTAGGAGCCGACTGGAGGGGAATCATAGTAGTAGTTGTATTGGGGGTGGTGGCGGTAGGAGTGGTGACGGCGGGAATGACGAACTGCAAGGGTCATGATCATCATGGAAGCGAAGACAACGGCTATCTGTAAAAACCCATCAGGGTATATCATGAACAGGATTAAAAATAACAATAATGCAAAGGACTGCAGGAGCACAGGTGGACAGATAAATAGGGAAGGAAGGATTCATTAGGACTCACCAGGTAGGAACGCATGACGAATGAGTCAGATGAGGAATGGCCAAAGGAGAAGCTGATTCTCGGATGCCTTACAAGGCGCAACTGCTAAAGTTTCCATAATTTTGGGGGCCTTTTTATCCGCAGAAAAAGGGGCGTAGAGACGGGGAATTCCCAGGAAAATATCCAGGGAGCGTTTGAGGCCCTCCGAAAACGCCTCCACCCATTTTGACTCTGAGGGATTACAGGGTGCCCGAGGGGATCAACGGGCTTGGATAAACTCATCTCATTTATCTGGAAACACCATGTAAATAAAGTTGTATTACTGCGGATAATATTATGTTTCTTGAAGTTGAGAGGATAAATTGCCCATATCTTGCATGAATTAAATTTGCGTCTAAGGTGCTCTGTCCAGAAACATATGCATACACTTTCAAAAATTCATAGAGTTTGCTTCTTTCCGCGTTTACAGGTGAGCCATGGCTGTGTGGAAATTCTAGAGTGCTTCTTCATTATCAATATGCGCGGTTGCGCCTTTTACCTTTCTTCAATCCCTTCCCGCAATTCAACCTCCTTGTCTCCTCGTATTCCTCTCTGAGAGCATCAACAGCAATGAAATTTGCCATACTTCTTCCTCTCTCACCACAAAATCGCTCCAGCAAATTTGAAGCTCCATCTCCTCGGGGTTGTGGAGAACGCTGAATCTCGTTTTTGGAGGATATGAATTTCATTCCGTTTTTATTTTTTTCCTCCCCCCCCCCCTGGGTAGCCTCTCCTGGGGGGTTTTCGGAGGAAAGAGACCAACCATACGAAAGATATTGACTCGTAGATGACGAAAAGTGGCTTTTTTTGCTGTTTGCAATGCTCCATTTCGCCATAAGAAAAATAAAAGTCGTCGTTCAATTAGAGTGCTTGCTCTGGTACCGTCCCCCAGTGTTGCCGATACCGTGCCGAAATTATGCCAGATTCAAGACTGTTTCAACCTTCGTATTGGCGTCTGGATCTTCTGTTTTTTAATGTATGAGACATTTTTGTGCTGAGTTCATGAGATGAGCTGAGAATGAAGCTGTGATTAGCAGTTATAAATCGATGTGGTGGGATATGCAGATATCTTATCCGGCCATCCCTGAATTAGCAGGATGGCGCGTACCATGGATTGCGTGCGTCTTGAAGGCATTCTCTCCTCAGACCTATTCAAGATGGTTCGAGGAACTCCAGATAGGCCTAAAGCTACACGTCCACTCTGAAATGGTTCGTGAACGTATGAATAGGCCTGCGATTGGCCTAACGTTACACGTCCTCATCCAGGTGTCTCAAGACCACGATTCACCCGTATAGGCCTAATTGGCGCCGTAAGTCGAGAATTTAGTTTCTTTTGAAAAGAAAAAGGTAGGCGTTGGCGTAGGGCCGGCCCTAGCTGTTTCGGCGCCCTGTGCTAAGAGACTCCCCCCCCCCCCCCCCCCCCTCCCCTTCTCTTCGGAAGGGAGAAGGGTCAACCCTAGCGTCCAAGAAGACACCGAAACGGAAGACATTTCCACTTTCTGAATTAAAACATGGAGGTCGCAGCCATTATTGGTTCATGAATCCTGGCACGTTTTCGCGCCCCTGGTGAATTTGCGCCATGTGCCCGGCCCTGCCTTGGCGTGACCTGAAGGCAATCTGTTGGTTAGGCCTAGGCCTAATAAGATGGACTTAAGCAACGAGCTTGGCTTGGAAAAGTACTTTCTTGTATAATGATTTGTAGAAAATAAGGGCGTGATTTTTATGAATATAAACTTTTTTCATATATATATTTTTTATTTCCTCAAGTTCGAGGCGACGCACGTTGTGGTGAATGTTGGAGGCCAGCCAATGCCCCTAAACGAAACTGAAAAACCGAGGATCAATAGAGTAAAAGTAACCTGGAAAAATATCCCCAGAATTGGCAACCAGTTTGCAATTTGCAGAAGCCCCCGAGACAAAACCTGTAACAAATGGGAAGAGCTTACGCTTCTTTAGATATACACATTTTTTGTGTACTTATTGTATACGTACGTAAGTACATACGTAAGTACATAATGTATAAATTGTACAGTAAGTACAGTGTATACATTATTTCCACAATATTGAAGTCTATAACTGAATTCAAAATGAAAATTGTATTTTTTTGGCATTACAAAGGGTATAGTGATATTCATAAAATTATAGCTATAAGCATTTGCACTTAAGCTGAACAATAATTAAATCCTCGAATTAAATATCAGTACTGTTTTCTTCGACTAAAAAAAAGTGAAAGCCAATACCAAAACTCGCAGGAACAAAACAGGCACAAAGAATCTTTTTTTTTTATGTTCCTCATATTTTGTCAGTTTGCTGTTTTGATAGTGGCTTGTTCCTCCTCTCAGTTTCGGGTGGGATGTTTTGCTTTTCCAGAATTTTTTTTCTTCCGTTTGGCCTTGAAAACCAAGATAAGGAGTACATACTTTCAGAAATGCCGCTGCGGTATAAATATATCAATAGGAGGAAAAGGAGAAAAACATTTATTGCATATGGGCTGCTATTAACTCCAGGTGGTTCATTAATGAGTGAAAGGTACAGGGGGACAGGTAGTTCTTTTTATTTCATGTGAGAAAGGATTTCAATGTCATAGGGAAAACGACAGAAATGGAATTGAATAGAATAAATGAAAAAATATCGATGGAAAGACGAAATCGAGTGATTTCGTCGTCCATCAGGCAATATCGTTGAGGACCACCACGGGCTTCCGGATCTTCTGATGTCTTCATTGAAGACAAGTCCCAACTAGTTCCTAGTTATAGATGATGATGAGCGATAATTGCGTGCCGTCAATCACTTGCATGGAGAACATGCAAACGAATCCAGGACTCTGAGGAAGTTAATAGAGAGAGAAAGGACGGTATCGGTGTCGGCGGCGTTCCGAATAGTGAGGATTCAGAGCTTGAAAGACGGAACCCAAGAAGGAAGTTTGAGCGTTGCCGTAGGCGTATCTGTCATAGGGGTCGCGGAACCCGTGGGAGTAGGAGCCGACTGGAACAGTGTTGTAATAGTAGTCGGTGTATTGGGGGTGGTGGGGGTAGTGGTCATGAATGGAGTGACGACCTCCAAACGTGAAGATCATCATAGACGCAAGAACAGCAGCTGTCTGTAAATGCGAAAAGAATATCAAAACAGAATCACCACGAGGTGAAACTAAGAATTGTGAAGAAACACAACAGAACAGGGAACATATAGAACAGGGAAAACGTATCTTAAATACTCACGAATAGGGAATTCATGGCGTGGGTTGAGGAAGTCGATGGATGCACGAGAGAGCCTTTCTCAGACGATCTCCTCAATGTCACTAATGATTTTTCCGTTCTTTTTTTTGCCTTTTTGTGCCTGCTGAAAGAGAGGAGGATTTTGAGATGGGAAATTCCCAGAGAAATTTCCAGGGAGGGGGGTGGGGGGGTGGGGCAGGCCTCCAAAGACGCCTCCACCCACTTTGACTCGGAGGGGATTTCAAGGCGTTTCAGAGGATCAAAGTTTCCTGGAAACAATAGGTAATCCTTTTCACAGCCCTTTTCGACTTCTTGGGAATATCCAAGGGAAAAATATAGAATTTCCTTACTGGTATAGGGTAAGCTGTGTGACCTAAACGGTGGGAAAAAACCCCCAGGGAATTGTTGATGCAATTTATTGATTAATGTATAATTTTCGAAACATTGGGCGAAATGACAATTATCGCACTTGGGTAAGAAAAGGGGGGCTATTTCCTATCAAACGCTATGGACTAAAAGGCACAAAATGCACTATACAAACTACTGCGTAAGACCGCATATTGTAATGGGAAGACCTTTTATCCGAGAATTCCCATCCTTTGCCGGAGGAATTACTCCCGGATGCTTTTTACGAATCAACTCTGAAACACCACTACAAGTTTTAGAAGTTTGCGTTCTAGGTCAATTTATACTCGGCTATGAAGCCAGGTAGGCCTACTTAGGCGAACCATCATGATTGCATCGTGTGAATTGAAATTGCACTCTCCACGGGCCGAGTTACGAGTTCTTTGGTGAATGAAATGAAGAATTCCAATGTCTTTAAAAAAAAAAATTGGAAGGAGTTGTGTGAACTACTCAGAAAAGGACGCACGAATGTCGTCGACGAACCACGTTTTCGAAGGTTTTGAGGGAATCGAACCGCTTCCGTATTGCTTAGACATTCGCCGATAAATTTCACCAGGTTTCGCGTAAGTTGTATGTAACGTCATACGTGATATAAAAACTATTTAAATAAAACAGTACTGCGTTTGAGTGCGTGACACAAAAGAAAATGCGATTGACCAAGCTGTGGCTAAGATTCGGAGAGGGGTCTCTAAGGGAAAATTCACTTAATTTTTTAAACTTGCCTTAGCAGTAGGCATTCCCATAAGATTATTTTAACGGTGATATGAATCCATGTAAGGAAGCGATGATTTCAAGTTGAATTAATATCCAAGTTTTAAATGGTAACAGCAAATGGAAAGGATTAAATGTCTTTGTGCAACTAAGGTAGCATTTTCATATTTAGAAAATCTCAACTGAAGGTTTATGAGCCACTTAATCCAGCAATGCTTCCATCTCGAGTTGCCTTGCTGCCGCCTCCGTATTTCAAATGAACTTTGGGAGATGTGTTGGACAGTGCGACCATGTGATACCTCACGGATTGGTCACCGCAAGACACTTTCAATTTCCCATCATCCCGGGAATTGAGCATGGAAGCGTATCATATACAAGAAACTGGAAATTCAAGCGGATACTCTCATGAACCAGGCAGACTCGGACGTGATATCCGCCACCAAGTGGAGGAGCTTCCTTCCCCCTCACTCCAATCACTCTTGTGTATACAGTCGAACTAGGTTATAACGACCTCAGTTATAACGAATCCTCGGTTATAACGACGAAAAGCGCCAGGTCCCGGCGTAGAGCCCAAAAGGCACGTTACATTTTACCTCGGTTATAGCGAACTCGGGTATAACGAGAACCTCGGTTATAACGAAGTCCATTGAAGGTCAAGTGAGAAATTCACAACGTTAATGTCCCTAATCCGTCATTTTTAACTGGAATTCCCACAATAGGAAAAATGAATGTCGGCAAGCCATAACGTTATCTTTTCTGGAATCGGCATTCCTTGAGAGTCAGAGCGTGTGACAGGACGGTGAGGGAGGGATTATCCCCAGTAACTAACAAGATCATCTTATCTTCAGTCGCCATTACATTTCTCGTTGACAACATGGCCAGTGGAAAGCGAAAGAGGCAAGCCTTCACGATTGAAAGGAAAGTTTGCATGATTATTAGAAGTTATTAGAAAGTGCTCGAAGTCGAAGTCCCCTTCGAAAAACATGGACATCTCTTTCCACAATTTTGGAAAATCGTGACAGCTTCATCATTACGAGAACATGTCACAAAACAAGAAACTTCCTAGATCTGTCGAGATGACATCGACGAGGCCTTGCTATTAAGTAGTTCAAGGTCCAAAGAAGTGCGAACGTTACGATTAGTGGGTCAGGAAAAGGGAATACAGGCAACTTCGGTCATAACTAACCTCGGTTATAACGAGGATTTTTCCCTGGTCCCTTCGATGTCGTTATAACCGAGTTCTACTGTATTTGGTCGGGGGGATAGCGAAAAGGTGCAAGGTAACCAGAGACTTCCCCAGATGTAAGATATCGACAGTACACCCGCTTGCTAGAGTCTAAGAAAATGTGTTCCAATATAAAATAAGGTACAAAATAGTTCAGTTCCAATATAATAATTTTTATTTTGGTAAACATGATTGGTGGTCACTTGTCAAATAAATGGCAAATAAATCATTTGGAATTTAAACTGAGTCAAAGAAAACTGAAAATCAAGTCGTCATAGGGTGAAACTGTTGAGGGTCACTGCGGTAGAGATGAGTATCAGAATGAGAATCAGTAGAGGGAGAATGGACGGTATCGACGGCGGTGGCGCTCTGCACGGTATGGATCCAGAGCTTGAAATACAGAACCCAGGAGGGAAGCGTGGGAGTTGCGATAGGCATGTCTGTCGTATGGATCATAGAAGCCGTGAGAGTAAGAGCCGGCTGGAACGGATTCGTAGTAGTCGTTGTGTTGGGGGTGGCGGCGATAGTGGTCGCGGAAGGAATGACGACCTCCAAAAGCAAGGATCATCATTGACGCAAAGGCAGCGGCTATCTGAAAGAACCATTAATTCCATGTAACAACACTCTGAAGGGAGATGACTAGGAAACCAAGGATACACAAAGCAAGTACTCACCAGATAGGAACGCATGACGAATGAGTTCGATGAAAAATGCTGAAGGGGAAGCTGTTTCTTAGATGCTTTCCTGGTCGCAACTGTGTAATACCCATTCCTTTCTGGAGGTTTTATACCTAAAGAAAAGGGGGCGTAAAGACGGGGAATTCCCAGGGAAATATCCAGGGAGGACTGGCGGGCCTTCGAAGAAGCCTCCACCCACTTTGACTCGGAGGGATTACAGGGTGCCCGAGGACGGCTATCTTATCTGGGTATCTTATCTACGTGGTTCTTTTTTTTTCACTGTCCTTTACCGTTTTTCGTTGACGTTTAAGCAAAAATAACTTCTGACCTAGTCTGACTTTGGCACCTATTTGTGTTTGCTATTACTTAATTACCCAATTATATTACTGCGGATATATGTTGTACATTGCTTAGGTAGCCAAGACTATATGGGCCAGTCATGGCCCCAATAAGGCATCTTTGGCGAATGTCTGGCAATGGCATCCACTCTTGGACTGCCCAAGGGAAAAGTCTGGCGGGCCAAACAACATTAATGCATATGGCATCCTAATGTGAGCCTCAGAAGGACCATTTCAACTAGACCTGTTTCTGGGAAACCACATTAGGGAAACGCCAGGATGCGTTTTATTGCAGCCATATTACAGCCTTACTCACGTGGGAATGAGGAGGTGCAGTTCGATTTCTCAATTAGCTGCATCGCAATCTTTCACATTACATTCTGCAGCCTGATATGGAATTTATTTGATGATGGTTATGTCAATCCACGATCAGCATGACATTGTAAAGTTGTTCTCCCAGTTGGTTCCTAGGACTCTCGAAGTTGAATATAAATATTTATGCTATGCAAGGGAAATTTTTCTAATTTTTGCGCTCCATACCTCAAATACCGAAATAAGCCAACAATATACAGATTGACTTTAAAGTAGCTTCTGTGCCATCTCCTGTCGGTCGTGTGAACTACCGTCATGAAACCGCAGAGCATGCTTCCGGTACAGTGACAGCGGATTAGACAAACGAATGGTTTCTTCTTTCAAAATCGTCGTCTTTCCTCGTCCCCTGTACTGCAGCCAGTATGAGGCCTACCCATATTCTCAGGTCAGCAAAGTAATTTTTGTACCATTCTTATGATAGTCTTGTCCTGACCTTACGGATTCACACTTCGGGGCTATCCTCGTTTACCTTATGCCTATCTTAGATGAGGTTTCTGCATGTCAAGCTCTTGCGGTAGTCTTGAGTGTTTTGTTGCATTGCCCCGGCCTATTGCAGTTTTCATGTTATTCTGCTGTGAACTGAAGTCAATTCTACTGCATGTAAGGTCTACGGGTAGGCTAGGTCTGAAATGCATACGTTTGAATCAGTGAGGGTGCTGGTAGATATTGGATCAAGGCAGCCCCTGTGTGATTCTTGACATAAAGCAACCGTGGAAAACTGAAATTTTCAGGTTTTATGTAAAAATGACCATTAATATAATCTTTGTGATGAAAATATTTGAATTGTGGGTGGGTCTATGTAATGGATTATCATAGGAATTTTGGAACTCTTCCAATCTCAGCTTCCAGTGTTACATGTACATTATAAATACATAGTGCACAATGGCATAGGCTCTTAGTGGTTAGCTGTTTCTCCTCTGTGTGAAAATAAGATAACTTTGTATTCTTGTTGACAAAGATGATCCTACAATTTAGATATAGGCTGCAATTGAATCCCCTCCCCAACTGACTTGACTCCATAAGGTGTGCATCTCATGGGACCTAGGCTGTTGTTTGAATCTCTTTATAAATAAATAAAAAACTAGAAATGTAAAGGCTAGGAAATATATATATTTTTTGCTGAGCAATTAGCTTTTAGATACAGGGCTGCATTATTGTCAGGTCTATATGCCCAGTAACTTAGCATGACTCCTGCTTTCAACATTGCCTGATTTTCAGGTTTTTCATGGGGAATGGAGACTGAATCCGTATGGGCATCATTTTGTGGCGCAACATATATGACACACTTTTATGATGGAAAAACCTGAAGACATATTGGTGGAAGCTTAACATATACATGAATTTCATTCATTTAGGTGAGTTTCTTCTATCCTAATAGGTAACCTTTTGAATTCATAATTTTTTAGGACTTAGATATATGAAGGCCAAAATCTGTTAAAATAGGCATATCTGTTGCTTAAGGTGCAAATAATCTTAAAACTGCCTGCCTCTTTAAAAGCATAGTTGGCTGCCACACTTGACCCTAGGAATGCATTTTCTAATGGGCCTGATTCGGCCCACGTATTGGATCTTACTAGGCCCAGAGGTATGGCCAGAGCTCGACCATTATGACATTTCTTGTATGGCCCAAATCTGGCTGCCGCATTGAGCCCATGTAATTTTGCCATGCATGTACCTTACTTGGCCCACTCGTGGTTGGCTACCTGGGTGGGAAGATAAAATACCCATGCCGTGAATGAGGTGAATTTGCGTCAAAAGTACTGGGTATCCAGTAGTTTATGCGTACACATTCAATAATTCATAGGTTCTCTTTATTTCCACGCATTCATGTGAGCCATGGCTATGTGGAAACTGATTCTGAAGTTCTTTTCTTTTTTAAGACTTTTTCTATAAATTGCTATGGAACAAAAAAAAGGGGATTTCCTTCATTGTCTAGGACAGCGGATCCTCCCCTTGGATGGTCTTCAGACGGGTTACCGTCATATCTTGCTGAGGACGGAAGGGAATTTCCCCATGTCTCTACCCATGCTCTTCTGCAACATTGAACTCGAAATCTACGTCCTTGACGGGGTCAAAGGTCTGTCTTCCACCTCTCGTCATTGAAAATTTAATATGTAAATGGCTTTAACGAAAATTTCACAGAAGGATTTGGGATGAAAAATAATCTTGCTGCGTCCAAAAATGGGATGCTTGAAAATTATGCCCTCACGACGTGGTTTTATCCGCAAAACTTTAAGTCCTTGTGCGACGAAAACTCAGTATTATAACTCATGACCACTCCTGTGTTCCTTGGATGTGTCTCATCGAATGGAGTGCGATCTTGGAAAGTGTTCGCATGAGTAGGCCATTCAAAAGACAAGTTAAGAAAATTCAGGCAGCTCATGATCTCGGGTCAGATGAGTCAGATGAAAATAAATGTTAATAAGATTAAAGTTTTAGGGTTTTCTTCATTCCACCGCCTTTCGATTCCACTTAACCATTTGGAATTTCAAATCTCTCGCCAACATATTGCCGCACTGCCATTTGACCTTATAAAGCCCAGATTTGATTTTCTCTTTATTTTCTCTGAGGACTGCTCTGTCTCTCAGTGAGTGTTCAAAGTCGACAACGCTGACTGACGAGATGGTTGATTCCTCCGAAAAACTTACGAGATTCGGGAGCGAACTCTCCAGACCCGAATAGATATTATCTTCAGAGAAGTATATGGACATCGGAGAAGAATATCTCGATGGAATCACTCGGCCTAAATTTCGTGGGGTGTTATCGTAATGTATTTTCTTACGAGCTCAGTGGCGATCGATACGCAGCAGAAAATGGCAGCACTCCAAGTGCATGGCGTTTTTCGGCCTTTTCCCAGGAGGCAGGTAACATCACATTGACCTAAAAAATGTATAGGCTATTACTCAAGTTAGCATGTTTTGGCTCACAACCCCTTTTCCCTCTCCAGCGACAATTGCGACGGACTTTAAGAGCTTGCTTTCAATTTTCACTCTTAATAATCATGAGCAAAGAAACGACGACAGGGATTTCATTCTCCATCTTCACATGAAATAGCTTCTTTAAATCACCGCATTGAATGCTGATCCCAAAAGCTTTTTAGAAAATGAGTTTTGGTCGAGGGCAGAAGGCGATTTGCGTTCGTCTTTTCTCACCTGGAAAATGAATTTTTCATGGCTCCATCGGTCCAATGACGTGGTAGCTTTACACGAGTCATAACGCCGAACGAAGCTGGTATCCCGTCGCTTCATTTGTGTTTTTCCCAGGCAAATCGATTCTTTGATCTCGCGGAATGGTCTGCGACGTAGGGGCTCAGAAAGTAAGATGATATCTTGATTCCAAGTGGTATAAATAGAGATGATAACACGATAAGCCGAAGTGTGCAACCGTCAAATTGGAATATAAAAGCGGTGAAGTGAAGGTGGAAATTTTTTCATATTCTTGGAAATGAAATCGGATGTCTCAGAATCCTTACGTAATTAATATAAGTAATCCCACCCAAGCCAAGATGGAATTAGTTTCATTCTCCGTCTCAGATTAGTTTAGCCGCCATCAGTTGCACGGAAAGTCGGTGTCTTCTTTCGTGCAAATGAAAATAGGAGTGAGATTATATAACTCGTAATAGAAATGATGGAAGTTGAGAAACTAGAATGGGAGAAAAAATTATCGCCCAAGTAAAAAAGAAAACGATTTTATAACCCTTTTCCTCTTTATGGACAGAAACAGTGAAGCCCTTGAGTCTTGAAATTGCTCACATGCCTCAGAAACGTGGCCAAAGAAAAACGATGACTTAAGATATTTCGTGACTTCGGTGTCACTGATTAGATCTTTAGCAGGACATTGATAATCGCGTGCCAGCAGAATCCGAAGTGTCTCTGAGCCACCTCTTCCCTGTATGTCGGACTCGCATTATGCATTTCTGTATTGTTTTTCCTGGTCGGAGCGTTATGGTAGAGGGTATTTTCGACGGAATCGTTATCGATCGAGGATCGAGCACACGGGGAGTTGCTAAAGCCGGTCATGACTTTCAGAAAGAGTCGGGCGTTTCTCGTCTATTAACGATTCCTATCTTGTTCATTCATAGTGCTGAGGAACGTTGATGTTATATACCTCATGTCCATAACTCTGTCGATGTGACTCACTTGGCATGTAAGAAAGCGAGAAGCATTCCAAGTTTGCTGCGTAGACACTTTTTCTCGCAGATCAGAGTCGATCGGTTTCTTCTCCGAAAGCTGATCGTTCTGAAACTTCAGTGAGGCGAAAATTCGATTCGATGCTTGTTATGCAAATTCTATTCACCCCACAACGTTGCCAGTTTTGAGTAGGAGGCATAACATGTTGGGGAATGGTGCCTGTGTCATAAGA